TCCTCCCAACCTCCCATACCTCTCAGGTGGTACAGGATGGCTGGAGGGAGCAGGAATTGGGTATTTCCCTTCCCCCAGGTTCTGGTTTCAAAACGGTTGATTTAACACTCCCCTGTTGGATGCACAGGGCGGGGGAAGTCTCTCATCTTCACTGTGAGAACCTCGTTCAACTCATGGAGGTAAAGCTCACCAAATGGGGGGCATCCCCCCCAACACAGACTCCCTCTTGTTCTTAACTCTCAGAGTTGTCCACACTGAGCCTCCAGCAGTTTGTCAATTGCAGTTTAGGTTTTCCTACCCTGCTGCTGGTTCCCATGGAGGTTTCTACTGGTGAATTTCTATTTTTGTAAATTGTTGATTCTTTGCATCCACTTGTCTAAGTTTTAGGGAAGTGGTTTTTGTGACCTCATTTCTCTCATGGACCTAAGAACAGTTGTGAATTTTCAGTCTGTTCAGTTTTTTATATATTAAGACACAGAGTGATGACTTCTAAGCTCTTTACATTTGCATTTCTGGACCAGAAGTGGGAAATCTGCCCTACCTTCTCTGTGCTTTTTACTTCTTTCCTCCCTTAAATTAATTTTTTTTTAAACTGTGGTAAAAAATGCGTAACATAAGATATATTCACCATTTACAGTTCAGTAGGGTTAAGTATATATTTGCACATTGTTGTGCAACCAGTCTCTGGAACAGTTTTTTTTTATCTTGCATGACTGAAATTCCATACCCATTAAACAGTAACTCCCATTTCCCCCTCCCCCAGCCTGTGGCAACTACCATTCTACTGTGTTTATTTGAATTTGAATATTCCTAGATACCTCATATGAGTGAAATCATATACTATTTCTCTTCTGTGACTGGCTTGTTTCACTTAGCACAGTGTCCTCAAGGTTCATCCAGGTCTCCTTTTTAAGGCTAATATTTCACTGTAGCGTATACTACATTTTGTGTCTCCATCATCCATTGATAGACAGACACTTGGTTGCAATAGTGCTGTCATGAACATAGCTGTACAAATTATCTCTTTAAGATCCTGTTTTGAATTTTTTTATAGTTAGGCCTAGAAGTGGAATTGCTGGATCATACGGTAATTCTATTTTTAATTTTTGGAGGAGCTGCCATACTGTTTAGCTTTGCCGTTTTATTTCCCACCAATAGTGCACAAGCGTTCCAGTTTCTCCATATTCTCACCACCACTTGTTCTTTTGAGAGTGGCCATCTTGATGGGTGTGAAGTGGTATCTCATTGTGATTTTGATTTGCATTTCCCTAATGATGAGTGATGTTGAGTATCTTTTCGTATGCTTGTAGGTCACTTGGGTATCATCTTTGGATCAATTATTCAAGTCCTTGGCCCAGTTTTTAATCATGTTGTTTGTTTTTTGTTAGGTTGCAGGCGTTCTTTATATATACGTTGCTTATTGATGCCTTACAGATATATTATTAATATCTACTCTTACCAAGGTCTAAAGTTATAATAATTCTATCCTCTTCCTTCAAAATACAGAGTTTTAAGAACACTTGAATTCTGATTTCCTTCTTTAGGACTTAACAGGTTATTATCTACCATTTCAGGTAGTTCCACTTTGGTTTTATCCTGTCCTTCCCCTTCCCACTCCCAGTTAATTTTTGTTTATTGTTTAACTGAACCAATGCTTGTTTGGGTTGATTTCTTTGCTTACTGTTTCTTCTTGCATCTCATGCCTTTCCTAAGTGATCATTTTCTATATTCTTTTCTTTTCCTTTGAGTAGGCTCCACCCCCAGCGTGGAGCCCAACACAGGGCTGGAACTCATGACTCTGGGATCAAGAGTCAGATGCTTAACCGACTGAACCACCCAGGTGCCCCATCTATATTCTGAATTACATCCGTAAATAGTTTTTTCAGTGAAAGTCTGTTAATAGTAAACACTTAGGTTTTTATTTTCCTTTGTGTTCTGAAAAGTGTTCAATTGTACCTTCTTTCATAAAGATATTACCATGTCTTTTGTCTTTTTTTTTAAGTTTTAGGTAGAGGGGGGGGGCCGGGGGGGGGGGTGGAGAGTGAGAGAATCCCACGCTGTCAGCACAGAGCCTGACTTGGGGCTCGAACTTACAAACCATGAGATCATGACCTGAGCTGGAACCAAGAGTGGGACCCTTAACCGACTGAGCTACCCAGGTGTCCAGTTTTTTTTTAATTTTTAAAATTTATTTTTAATTTATATCCAAGTTAGCATATAGTGCAATGATTTCAGATTTCAGTGATTTATCCCTTATGTGTAACACCCAGCTCTCATCCCAACAAGTGTCTTCCTTAATGCCCCTTACCCATTTAGCCCATCCCCTCACCCGCAGCCCCTCCCAGCAACCCTGTTTGTTCTCTGTATTTAAGAGTCTCTTATGTTTTGTCCCCCTCCCTGTTTTTATATTATTTTTGCTTCCCTTCCCTTATATTCATTTGTTTTGTATCTTAAATTCCACATATGAATGGAGTCATATGATATTTGTCTTTCTCTGATTTATTTCACTTAGCATAATACCCTCTAGTTCCATCCACGTAGTTGCAAATGGCAAGATTTCATTCTTTTTGATTGCCAGGGAATACTCCAGTGTGTGTGTGTGTGTGTGTGTGTGTGTGTGTGTGTGTGTGTGTGTACACACCACATCTTTATCCATTCATCTGCCGATGGACATTTGGGCTCCTTCCATACTTTGGCTATTGTCGATAGCGCTGCTATAAACATTGGGGTGCATGTGCCCCGTCAAAACAGCACACTTGTATTCCTTGGATATACACCTAGTAGTGCAGTTGCTGGATCGTAGGGCAGGAACTTTTTGAGGAACCTTCATACTGTTTTGATAAGTTCTTTAACGTTTGTTTATTTTTGAGAGAGAGAGAGAGACAGAGTGTGAGCAGAGGAGGGGCAGAGAGAATCCGAAGTAGGCTCAAGCCTCTGAGCTGTCAGCACAGAGCCTGACACAGGGCTTGAACTCGTGAACCACAAGATCATGACCTGAGCTGAAGTCTTCAGGATGTTTGACTGAGCCACCCAGGCACCTCTCTAGTTTTTTGTTTTGTTTTGTTTTGTTTTTTAAAAAAGATTTTTAAGTAATCTGTACACCCAGCATGGGACTCAAACCCACAACCCTGAGAACCAAGAGTTGCGTGCTCTGAGCCAGCCAGGTGCCCCATCCTGTCTTTTGTCTTCTATTTGACACTTAAGTTTCTGTTGAGAAGCCAGTTCAGTTGTTACTTCTTCATAGAATATTTTTCCTTCTTGTTGCTTCTCTTCTCTTTGTGGTATTCTGTTGTATCCTTATCATGTGTCTAGGTGCAGATTTAACTTTTACCCTGCTTGGTTGGGACTTTGTTTCCTAAATATGAGGCTCCCTTTCATCAACTCTTGAAAAATACTTAGCTAGTAGTTCTGCCTCTCCCCCATTCTCTCTGTTCTTCCTTTTGGGCCACCTGTTAAAACTTCATTTTTGGACCTCTGTATTTTATTCCCCCTATTAACCTTTCTTTCACAAAATTTTTAAGTTTGTGCTACCTTTTGTAATCTTCTTATATCTCTTCTCAAATACTGCATTCTTTTCATTTGCATCTAATTTGCCATTTTTCTTTCCATTTCTAAGCGATTCTATTTGGTTAATTTAAAAATCTTCTGATCTTTGTTGATACCATTTTCTTGTCTCCTGGTTTTGATTCCTTCTTTTATGACTTTAAACATTGGAATGTACTTACAGTTTCTAGTGTGTCTTACTAACTTTGGTTCTTACTGGTGTAAATACCTGTTGTTCAGTCATAGTAAAAGATTGGTCCTTCTGTGTTTTGTAATTTAGAATTGTAAACTCAGGTTCAGCAGGACTTTATCTATAGGACTCTTATGTGACCTTGGTAGAGAGTCTCTCTCTCCAGAGTATTTTTGTTTACCTCTGGTAGGTTTCCCAGGGATTTTACCAGGCTGAGACCATTTTTGGTTAGATTCTCTGCGAGGAGAAGTTGATACCAGACCCCTCAGGGCAGTGTAAATCTGAACTCTGAACTCAAGTGAAGGCAGGCCAAAGATTATACATTCTCTAGGGATATACCCTTTTGTTTCTCCCCTCACGGAGCCTAGGTCCTTTTATCTCCCTGGTGTCAGTGAGGTGACTTTTTTTCACTAATCTACTTCTTTACCTGAAGCTGTTGTAGTTCTTAATAATTTTAGGATTATTTACTGCTTTGTTACCTAGAGCTCTATGCATTATCTCCGAATGATAACGGGGAGAGATGTGGTAGGGATTATTATACCCATTTCACAACTAAGTAAAACTGGAGCTGTTACTCTCCTGAGATGACTCCCTGACATTATGTAGGTGGCAGATGGTAAAGAGATTCTTAGAGCTTGCCATGAGAAATGGGGTATTCTTCTGTGTTTTTTTGCCATGCAGCCACTGGTAGCATTCTTCATTAGCATGAAACTAGGTATCACCTCAACATCAGTCATAAAGAAAAACCAGTGTTTTTCTGCAGGTTTATTAAAATTCATTCATTCAACAAATTTGAACACCTGCTATGTTCTAGGCACAAGAATTAATACAAGAGGTCTGTTAACAACTGGGAGCTGAAGTACAGATAATTGGATTTGCTGCCTGACATGCGTTCTGCTTTCCATCCAAGTTAGTTAGCATATAGTGCAACAATGATTTCAGGGGTAGATTCCTTAGTGCCCCTTACCCATTTAGCCCATCCCCCCTCCTACAACCCCTCCAGCAACCCTCTGTTTGTTCTCTATATAAAGAGTCTCATGTTTTGTCCCCATCCCTGTTTTCATATTATTCTTGCTTCCCTTCTCTTGTGTTCATCTGTTGTGTCTTAAAGTCCTCATATGAGTGAAGTCATATGATAGTTGTCTTTCTCTAATTTTGCTTAGCATAATACCCTCTAGTTGCATCCACGTAGTTGCAAATGGCAAGATTTCATTCTTTTTGATTGCCGAGTAATATTCCATTGTGTATATCTGCTTTCCTTCTATAGACTGATAATGGTCTCCAGCTGCCAAAGAAGGTTGTGGATGCCAAGAGAAAGGTAACCATTTCTCAGCCCCCTGAGTGGAACTGGATGCCTCTAGGAGCCCACACCGGCTAGCAGTAGACATGGCTGAATTTACAAGCTACAAGGATACTGCCTCCAGCCGCCACTTGCGGTTTAAGTTACAAAGTCTAAGTCGCCGCCTCGATGAGTTGGAGGAAGCCACAAAAAACCTCCAGAAAGCAGAGGATGAGCTCCTGGATCTCCAGGACAAGGTGATTCAGGCGGAAGGCAGCAATTCTAGCATGTTGGCAGAGATTGAAGTGTTGCGCCAGCGAGTGCTGAGAATTGAAGGTAAAGATGAGGAAATTAAGAGAGCAGAGGATCTGTGTCAGCTGATGAAGGAGAAACTTGAAGAGGAAGAAAACCTCACCCGGGAGCTGAAATCTGAGATTGAACGGCTTCAGAAACGAATGGCTGAACTGGAGAAGCTGGAGGAAGCCTTTGGCAGGAGTAAGAACGATTGTACCCAACTCTGTCTGAGCCTGAATGAGGAGAGAAACCTGACAAAGAAGATCTCCGCTGAGCTGGAAATGCTCAGGGTCAAAGTGAAAGAACTAGAATCTTCCGAGGACCGCCTGGATAAAACTGAGCAGAGTTTAGTGTCAGAGTTAGAAAAACTGAAGTCATTAACTCTGAACTTTGTAAGTGAGAGAAAATACTTGAATGAAAAGGAGAAAGAGAATGAGAAACTGATAAAAGAGCTCACTCAAAAACTGGAGCAGAACAAAAAAATGAACCGAGATTATTCAAGGAATGCTTCTAATCTTCTGGAAAGGAATGACCTGCGGATTGAGGACGGGATCTCCTCCACACTGACGTGCAAAGAATCAAGAAGGAAGGGCGCTCTGGACTATCTAAAGCAGGTAGAGAATGAAACAAGAAACAAATCAGAAAACGAAAAGAACCGAAATCAAGAAGACAACAAAGTTAAAGATCTCAACCAAGAGATTGAGAAACTCAAGACACAAATCAAACATTTTGAATCTTTGGAAGAAGAGCTTAAGAAAATGAGGGCCAAAAATAATGATCTTCAGGATAATTACCTAAGTGAGCAAAATAAAAACAAACTCTTAGCCAGCCAGCTGGAGGAGATAAAGCTACAAATCAAGAAACAGAAAGAGTTAGAGAACGGGGAGGTAGAAGGGGAAGAGGCTTTCCTGTCCGGCAAAGGCAGGCATGAGAGGACTAAGTTAAGAGGCCATGGCAATGAGGTACCTGTGTCCAAGCACACACCGCGGGAACTGTCCCCTCAGCAGAAGCGGGAGAGGCATCGAAACAGAGATATTGCGCTCAACCATGAAAACTGTTCTCTGGGCAATAGGCAGGTTTCCTCTCCCAGTTTCACCAATAGGAGGGCAGCCAAAGCTTCCAACATCGGGCCGATAACAGACAGTGGGACTCAGGAGACAAGGAGAACTGAAGACCGATTTGTATCTGGCTCCTCTCAGAGTGAAGGGAAGAAGTCCAGGGAGCAGCCTTCAGTGCTTAGCCGCTACCCACCTGCTGCTCAGGAGCACAGTAAAGCTTGGAAGAGTACTCCCAAACCAGGTACTGAGGGTGGGTTGAAGGGAAAAGTGGAGAAGACAACACGAACATTTAGTGATAATACCAACCATGGATCTGTTCCCAGTGACGTACTGGGTAGAGCTGACAAGGCTTCTGACACCTCTTCTGAGGCCCTCTTTGGCAAAAGGGGGCAGGTACCTGGCAATGGAAGTCAGGTAACCCAGGCTGCAGACTGTGGCAGTCCTAAGGCCGTTGGAGCTCTGGCCTCATCCCGAAGATCTTCCTCAGAAGGGCTCTCCAAGGGCAAAAAGGCTGTCAGTGGCCCGGAGGCTGATACCACTTCCCCAAATTCCAAGCCTCCACTTTTATCAAAGTATCCTTATAATTCCAGAAGCCAAGAGAACATCCTTCAGGGCTTTTCAACCCCAAATAAAGAAGGTGTTGATCAACCCGTAGCAGTCGTGATGGAAGACAGCAGTCAACATGAGACCCTGAGGTGCCGGGTCATCAAGCCCAGTGGCAGAGAGAAGCCAGACTCAGATGACGACGTGGATGTGACGTCTCTTGTTACTGCCAAATTGGTAAACACCACCATCACTCCAGAGCCAGAGCTCAAACACCAACCCAACTCTAGAGAGAGAGCCAAATCCCGAGGGGGACTCAGAACCTCCCTGTTTGAGAATGATAAAGATGCTGGGACAGAAAGTGAGTCTGTGAAACCTGTCAGAGCCTCCACCAATGCCACGGAATTCCCAGACGCCAATGGTGCTGGGGTAAAAAGCCAGCGGCCCTTTAGCCCCAGAGAGGCGTTGCGGTCTAGAGCCATCATCAAACCTGTCATCATTGATAAGGATGTGAAAAAAATCATGGGAGGATCTGGAACTGAGGCCACAATGGAGAAGCAGAAATCCACCTCCAAACCAGGGCCAAACAAGGTGACAAGCAGCATAACTATCTACCCCTCTGACAGCGGCAGCCCCAGAGCTGCCCCAGGTGAGGCCCCGAGGGAAAGGCACACATCCACCAGCAACATCCAGGTTGGGCCAGCAGAGCTCACATCAGTCAGCAACCACGTCAGCTCTCCCTTTGAGCTCTCCATTCACAAACATGACATTGCTCTGCAGTTCACAGAAGCTGAAAGAATGGGAGATGGGCCCCTGAAGAACAAGCCAGAAACAGTGGTCTCTCGGAGCAGCATTATAATCAAGCCATCAGATCCTGTGGAGAGGAACAACCATGCCCCCCCAGCGGAGACAATCAGGTGGAAAAGCCATAGTGCCCCTTCAGAAGTGAGCTCTTCAGATGCCAGACACGTTACTGTGCGGAACGCCTGGAAGAGTAGGCGAGACTTGAACTCCTTAGAAGACCCCCCAACTCGAATAGGTAGAAACGTGGAAGCCACCAACGCCTACACCCAGAGGGCCTCCACAGACTGTTCAGACCTTGGACAGCCCAAGTTGTACCTTTGTGAGCAGGGTGCTCAAAGGGCAGGAAATTCAGGGGATGCCCCTGAGCTCACCTCCAGAAGGACCCAGAGTAGCCTCACCGTCTCTGAGGTGCTGACTCGTCGGAATCGGGTGGGAGACACAGCCTCGGCTGCAGCCTGGAACCACTCGGCAGGCGCGGTGAGCCCCCCCGGGGCCCCCCCCCCCCCTTTACTCTTTTACCTTCCTCTTTGCTCCCTCTACTCTGGCCTGTGTGTCTCAGGATTATGCGGCTGAGAAATCCTGGGAGAGCTAGATGGATTGCTCAGAGAACTGAAAATAAGGTAGGTTTGGCCTTGAAGAAGAGTTTAGTACCTTGAAGGAGGTGTTTGCCAGAGAGCAGCATGAGTTTCCCCAACCCCCTTTTCCAGTTTATCTCTTCTATATATGAAGGTCACACAAAAAAGAGAGATCTAGCCTCCATTCTCTTGGTTTGCCAGCATAGCAAAAAAACACCTCCCCCTAAAACCCTATAGAGCAGCACCTAGAAGCCCAAGAACCAGCTGTGGCCACTGGGAAGCCCTATGCCAGGGTACCCGGTGACCCTTCTGTAGCACACGTAGGACGGGGGTGGGGGGGCAGGGAGAGAGTTTTCACAGCAAAGTTTTGCCAGCTGCTGGCATATGGGGGAGGAGAGTGAGGCTTCCACTGGGCCTACTTTATATACTTTGTGTCCATGTTGTCACTTTATTTTGTCTAAGCCATTTTATCATCAGTCTGAGGGCAGAACTAGTTCAGTATGGCTCATTACAGGATAGATAAATCCAGAACCACCTCCGCCTCTGAGGGTCAGAGTGTCAGAACAGCACCTAAAGGGGAAGCCCCTAGGAGTGTCTTTTAGATGTGGAGCCTCTGAGGATGAGAGACGTTTTGGAAGTGGTTTCCTTCTTTTTAAAAGGCAGGTGCATTCACTTGAGATGTCCTGTGAGTCCATATAGGGTACTCACCATCTGACAGAGCACGTTCCCACTGCCACAGTTTCTCCAAGAGCCCTGTGGGCAGGTATTATCTCCACTTTTTAGATTTACACGGATGGTCAGAGCCACAAAGTGTCATACCTAAGGCCACCCAAATGAATTATTGGATGAGAGCTAGGATTTGAATCCAAGATTCCCGTTTTTTGTTTTTTGTTTTTTTTTTTTTTTGTTTTTAAATATTTATTTTTGAGAGAGAGAACACGGGCAAAGAGAGAGGAAGACACAGAATCCCAAGCAGGCTCCATGCGGTCAGTGCAGAGCCTGATGATGTGGAACTTGAACTCACAAACTGAGATCATGACCTGAGCTGAAATCAAGAGACAGAAGTTTAACCTGCTGAGCCACCCCGGTGCCCGCAAGATTCCCGTTTCTGAATCCAGTACTCTTTCTACCCTGCCAACGTTTCTCACTCTTACTTCTGTTTTGATCTGCGTTCTCTCTGAAGGACCAACACTGAAAAGGCAGAACTCTGGTAGGAGAATGGAGAGAGAGGGGTGTTTAGTCCCTTGAAGCTCTGGCTGACAAACAGGATAAGGCATAGGTGTAGGACCCAAAAGGGAAGGCACCTGGGCTTTTTGGTAGTTTATAAGTGGAAAGTAGGAAAAGCATGGTCCAGTGTCCTTTTTGGCAGTATATACTCCCTTGTTTCCCAGCAGGGAAATGCAGCCTGCACGCGCAGAACTCAAGGGTCTCTGGGCCTCCTTACAGGACCATGTGGTGCAGGCCCCGTCCTCCACACGCCCTTGCTCAGTTGTGAGCCGCCAGTCTACCCTCTGAGCCCCAGCAGCTTGGGAGTTTGTAGTCTACCGGTTTCCTTAGGCCAAAGCGAATCTCTGCAGTTCAGCTGTTGTCTGCACTCTACCTCCCTCTGCCAGGCTGAAGACGACCACTGGGAGAGGGAGGGAGTGTGTCTTGTTACTCGCTACTGTCCTTCGCAGCTCACTTTTTGTCATTTTTGGCACAGGAGGAAGGTGACGACTGCACACTCGGTGTCCACAGACGACTGCACAACTCCCTGGAGCGGTCTGAACTGCCTGCGAAGCAGGGGCTGCCAGAGCCCGGGCGAGCCCGGGCTGAGGAACGGTTACGGCCAGCCAGGCCCTGTGCCGAGGACAACTGAACCAGCTGGGTGAGGTCTGCTGTCTCCTCTGCTCCTGCTTCTCCGCTCTCCTGCCTTCCTGCCCCATGAAGGATGCAAGGCCAGTTAACCAGGCTAGACGCCAGGCCTTGGCTGGGAGACTGTGGCAAACCAGGCTGTGGCTCGGGTCATTTTGCCAGTTGGCCAGAGGGGATCAGAAACTACAAGCTGGACATAGTCACCCAGGCCCAGCCTTCCCTGATGCATCAGTTCTCTCTCCTTGCCCCTGTCCCCAGATCGGATGGGCCACTCTGGCCCCCAAATGGGGAAAGATCTAGAAACCCCTTGTATCCTCACCATACCACAACAGCTGAAAGCTCTCTTCTGCTTCTCAGTGGGTCAGAGGGCAGCCCCTTCAGTGTGGTTCATTTCTTCCTCTCACCGCATCCAGTTCACTCCTTGTTTGCCCTGGGGGCCTAAGTACCCCCTAAGACTTAGCAGCCATCACCTCCATCTAGGGGGCTTCTACTCCTTTCCCCTTTGGAGTTCCTCAGACTTGTACAGCAGAAGAGGTCTGTGCTGCCTCTAAGGGATTACGGGACCAACCTTTAGGCTGAAGCTTCTCGGACATCGCCCCCGGCTGACAATTGTTTCCTGGGGGCAGAGCACACGGGTACCCACCTATTGGAATGGCATCATCCCTCCCCTCCCCTGGCTCTATGCTCACCTTCCAAAGGCACCTGGAAGTGCACAAGCCTCACGCATCTCCTTTTCTGGGCACCCGTAATGCTGCTGGCACTGCCTGCTCCTCTCCCGTGGCTGGAGACTTCAGGCTGACTCCGTCGTTTCCATCTTTGGAATACTTCCGGACTAAACTGGGCCTGACCCAGCATACTCGAGGCCTTCTAGGAAGTGCCCAGCAAGGGGGAAAGTGGGCTGGAAGAAACATTTCCCCAGTCACTTCACAAAGCAATAGTTCCATGAAAGGCATGGACTTTCTTCCTCTTCCTTCATTCCCCCATGGAGGAGGAGGAATCGCACTTTACCGAACTGATGCATTCCTACAGAAGTGGGCCCATGGTTTCTGCAAATTGTCGTGATGACTTCACTGGAGGAAAAGTACTACGTGCCCACTGAGGGCCCCAGGTTTATATAATACAAAATGCAACAAACCTTTCAGGAAGCCACATAAAGTTGAATAGTTTCCTTACGTCACATGGGGAAGTTGAAAAGAACCGTATATTCTTGGCATTGCTTTTTGTGTAACTTTCTCAGTTCAGAGAAGGGCTCCCTTTTCAAAGGCTACTTTTAATGGCACAGACACTGTTCCTTCATAGTGAAAGAGAGCATTACTAGGAGTCAGGAAAGCTGAATTTGCTTCATGGCTTTGTACTTTCTTGCTGTGTGACTTTGGGCAAGTCACTGTCCTCGTGGGGCCTCAGTTTCCTTATCTATAAAAATGAATTCTTTGTAATAGTCTAGAGACCAGGGTCCTAAATCTGGCATTCTGAGGTGGTTCTGTTTACACTGTCCTGTGGGGGTGATTCTGCTTTTGGAAGGTAGCATCCAGATGGTTTTGGGGAATGGGTCCTCCCCGGCCTTGTTTTTCTGGGCCTTATTCTTTTCATGTTCTAATGTCAGGAGGATGAGCTCAGAGAAGCTCCCTCATTTTTCTAGTTTGTAAGATGAAGGGATAAGATCAGATGGCTTCTGCAGCCCTTTTGGCACCAGCCTTGCCCACTTGCCACACAGCATCCCCTGGCTTTTGTGACACAAGTTGGCTGTCTCCCGTTGCTGTGCTTCGTGGGCCATAGTCCCTGCCTGCACTTGGTGTGGGAACCAGTGTTCATCTCGCCCGTGTCTGCCTTCAGACTTGGCCATCCTGGAGGCGGCTTGGGGGCACGCTGATGAGCTTCCTTTCGGGGTCAGGAATGTTTTGCGCTTACTTCCATTTTCTGGAGGTCTGCCAGTCTAAGGGCATTGCTGTGTAGCTCATCTTTCCTCTACATAGTGCTGACTCAGCTGCTCAGTTTTAAGATGCTGTTTTCAAAATCTCTTCCTGCTGCTTCTCCTGGGTCCCTGGCCAGAAACTAGGAAACAGACCTCTGCGGTGGTCAACTGAGGTTATAGGAAACCAAGTCTGTGGCTCTTCTCTGCTGGTGGAAACAAAAGGGTGCCAAGCCATGCCTACAGATTTCGCCGCTAATTCTCTTCTTTGGGCATTGGAGCCCTGGATTCTGGTGCTGTAGCTCCTGGTGCCAAAGTCTGGATCTTTCCACACTGCAGCAGCACCAACATCTGCCACTACCCAAATACTCTGGAAGAGGGACAGCTATGGTGCCCTCTTGCTGGGGGCTGCTATCTTAAAGTCTGAGTGCAATAGGGTTTGATTGTAACAATTATTTCAGGATAAATATTGTTTCCTTAATCTGCGTACTTTCTAGAACCATTGTAAAATAGATTTTATTTTTAACTCTCCTCAGCATTGCAGAAGATACCATTTGTAATAGCAGATGAAGGCTGGAGGCTCAGTTCCTCTGGGTTTCAAATGGCTGGCAAGGCTGGCTCTCAGATTCCAAAGTTGGAAGGCACCTTTCTGAAAAGCAACCTCTGTGTGACCTTCTGGACCCAGGCCTCACCACCAGGGGTCCTGGAGGAAATTTCCATATAAAGGGGAGACCTGGTAATTAAGTAGCTGGTCCAGTCAAGCCAAATACTCCCACTGTCCCAGCCAATAAACCCACTTACATGACAAGCCTCTTCTGCAGCGTAGCTCCAACTCTAGATTTTACTGGCAGGTGTATTTGTTGTGGGAGGGTTCCCCGTGAGCCCAGAGAACCTGGCACTCCAGAGCTGCTTGGTTGGAGGAAGCAGAGCTGGCTGAATGCCAGAGGCTGGTCTCTCTTCCACCTGCTGCTGCATCTCACTACTCTGGTACTAAAAGCAACCAGAGAAAGCTGCCGGGATGGTGGGCAAAGGGGATTTGCAGTGGGGCCAAGGACTCCAACCTCTGTCCCAGGCAAGCCTGCACATAAATCATTCCCCTCTCATGGGGTGTGGGAGGGTCTATGTTGATCTTGGACCTGTCATCCTGGGGCAGTTTTAGTGCTTTATATTTAGTGGGTTAGCGCCAGGTGCTACCATTTTCCAGTAAAGGAACCGGGACCCAGAGGCTGGGTCCCTAGCTGCCTCTGTCGATGTGGGGTTTGTTGTCACTCTGACGAGATTGCTTTGGAAGAGCTGCTTTTAGGGATTATCTTTTGTCTACCCTGGGTGGGCCACAGGGTGTTCTCCTCAAAGCCTCACAACCAAGACCATAGGAAAGGGGCCCTATTTTCCTGCTGCTTCACAGCTCAGAACATGTACTGAATGGAATGTATTTTTAAGAGAATAAAGTCTATTTTTTTGTATTTTAAAGATTGGGAGGGCTAGGGAAGTACAGCCCTCAAAAAAAACCTGTTAATGCATTAAAGGCCCCTTTGCGAGGGGGCATCAGTATCTGTCAGTCCACATCTACTTGTTCAGGCAGGTGCTCTGGTCTCACCCCTGCCCCTTGGAGTCTAGGTGCAGCAGCTTCTACATTCCTGCTCCAAGCCTGGGACCAAGGAGGCCGGACCCTGTTGCTGGAAACCAGGGCGAAGCCATGAGCAGTGACTCAGGGCTCCTTGGGTGCATGTGTATAGTGGAAGCTGCCTGTCTGCATGTATCCTCTGGCTCTAATGCTGTCTGTTGGCTCTGCAGCACAATATGTAACCAATAAAGCTCCCTAGTTTCCATGTGGTCTGTGTGAGTCAGTGATGCCATTTTTGTTGATGTCCTGAGTACAACTGTTGTCTGTGCACTGGTATAGCTAGTATATGTCATTGTATTTTATTTACTTAAAATACTCAGCCAACTAATTAATGATGCTGTAAAGACCTGAGGCTTGGAAAATGACACACCTACCACCCACATAACTGAACTGGACTTAGAATTGTAGCAGCTATTTCATTGCTACATTTTAGTTTTAGGCTTGTCTGTTGTCACGCACAAAACGATGATTAGTCTCAAGCTACCTATGCCATGTATTTAAAAAAACACACGTTTTAAAGCACCTAACTCTGGATCAGATAACTCTGACCCCCCTGAGGTAACAATATTAATGGCAGAGCTGGGATTCAAATATAGGTCCAAAGTCCATATACTTTCCACTGCATGCTGTTCTCACCTTTATACCACTTGCCCTGATCCTGTTGCGCAGATGTTCTCCACTGCTGTTACTCGTTCCAAGACTAGGGGAAAAGCCCTCTCCGTCTTCTCTTCGGACCACCAATGTAATGTCACCTAAATCTTACTAAGAATAAAACCTCATTTAGACTAATTACAGGGAAGAATTGTAACATTAGTAAAAGCCAATTTCCAGAAACAGATCACGTACATGCATTTAGTAACACTGTTAGGAAAGCTTGAGAAGGAACAGTTACTGTAATACCTTTCTTATAAAAATGTTTTACTACCTTATATGAAATCATAAGTATCCTTATAAGAGGGGAGGGCACGAAGATAGGACTAGAGAACAAGAGAAGCAGAGATTGGAGTAATGTGCTCTGACAATCAACTGCGAATCAAGTGAGCTAAAGCCAACCCTCAAGTAGTGTGCTTTGACGATGGATGCAGAGGCCACCCAAGTCAAGGAATATAGAAGGAACACACTAGAAGCTAAAAAAGCAAGGAAATGGAACCTTCCCTCCAAAGCCTGCTGTGGTAATCTGTTAACAGCAGCAGTAGGAAACTAACACACCAGCTAAGTAAGTCATCTAAACCCTCGATCTTCTTAATGTAACACTTCCTAAACTTTTATAGCAGTACTTTGGACAAAAGTGGAAAGTTAGCACATACCCATGGAGGGAACCTGGGGAGTAAAGCCAGATGGTCTGCTAGAGACACACCCAAACTCTGCCTTGTTTCGTCTTAATGATTCAAAATTTCCTAATATCCATATGCTTGACCTGTAGCTTCATAGTCTTAGCATACAGTCACCCTATAATCCCAATAGGGAACTCTCCAGTTCCACAGATCAGGGAGCCCATTGCTTCTGTGGGGCTTCCCTCAACCCTGTCTTCAGACCTGACCCAACCATTTTTTTCCTTTATATAAATATCCTCCTATCTAAACGTGGATAAAACTGCCGTTTCCAAAGGCACAGTACTCGTATAACTCCAAGGGGAAACAACAACAAAAGATGATAGGAAGAATTTTATATGAAGTTTTATTTTTAAAATATAAAAAACCACCACACACCAAGAGACTAAGATGTCCCCTCCCCACACTTGGTTACCTCAGTCTTTAGGAAGAACGCCAACTTCCACGCTAACGGACAACTGCCTCTCTAGCTCTAAGTCACTCAAAGGAGGCGACCTCCTTGGCCACCTGGCATCATGAGTTCCAGCAGCTGACTGGGAGCCCAGATGCCAGAGTGAGTTTCTCAGTGGGATCCAGTACTGCTACAAGAGCTCTGTCTACACAGCAAAAGACACGCACATTGGCTGCTTCCCTCCGAACCCATCAGTCTCACATGCTTGGGGACTGCTGTGCAGGAACGCCTGGTGTGGCCTGGCGAGGCAGGGTGTACATGGCCCCCAGGAACTGGTCTGCAATCCTTCCGGCTTCTCGCAGCCCACTCAGCAGAGCACCATGGACAGTGGCTGGGTAGTTACGGATTGTATGTTCTCCAGCAAAGAAGAGTCGTGGAATTGGCTATTTCAGGAAAGAAAAAAAAATTGAGAGAAAAATCAGGTTGCAAACAGCATTTCTGCTGTACTTAAACGGCCAAATTCCTGTTGGTCTGCCAATCACAGACCATCACCCTACCAAAAAGGGTCTCCCTTAACAGTAGGCATCCTAAAACTGATAAAAGTAGAAATATGACAAAACTCAGCCCAGCCTTAGTCCTAGGGTAATGCATAACTGCATCTGTTCTCACAGATTATTTAATGCTGGGGGATATCTGGTTCTAGAGCTTCCGTTGCTTCATACGGTACCTACTGGGGCAGGGGGGTTCCTGACTGCTCTGTACCACATAGAGTCCAGCATTTGTTCCAATTCAGGAACACCTTTGCCTCTCAGCTCCAGAGCAGGTTCACAGGGTCCTGAGGAATGCTTACTACTCTCTGGAGCAGGGTTTGGCATTATCTAGATAAGAACCCCTCAGGGGCATGTACTGGAGACACCTAGTAACTGATACCTGCAATAATCCTATGAGCCATTACAAAATGGGGTGCAATTAAAAATGTTTTTCATCCTAACTTTTAGGGACAAACTTTTTTTTTTTTTTTTTTTAATTTTTTTTTTCAACGTTTATTCATTTTTGGGACAGAGACAGACAGAGCATGAACGGGGGAGGGGCAGAGAGAGAGGGAGACACAGAATCGGAAACAGGCTCCAGGCTCCGAGCCATCCGCCCAGAGCCCGACGCGGGGCTCGAACTCAGGGACCGCGAGATCGTGACCTGGCTGAAGTCGGACGCCTAACCGACTGCGCCACCCAGGCGCCCCGGGACAAACTTTTTAATAAGGAAAAAGTAACTGGCTTATACTGTGGACTCTTCCATTGGGAATGTGGACTGCCTAGATTTACGGAGCCACAATGTGAGAAATCAGACACCAATAATACTCTTCCTCCCTTTTCCTCTGCTCTTAGTATTTGAAAGGCTCCAAGGACAGAATGACTAAAATCTAAAAAAAACCAAAAAACAAACCACAAATCCGTGGCATCAATTTTAACCTGAAATCCCGGGATACTGACTTTTTCCCAAATAAGCCTTGGTGGTTTGCCAATTTCTCACCTGTGGGGCACCTGGAATTGAAGGGCCAGGAGTGATTGGCTGAGCCATTAAATCATAGTCATTTCCAGATGATCCTGCAGCTACATATGAATAGGAGCCCCGTGCCCAGGGATCAGCACGCCAGCGGGATACCACAGTCTCCTTGGGCTAAAGGAAAAAGCATGAGCAGTAGTTATTATATGACAAAGGACAAACCAATCATCTCTGAAAAGTGGAAAAGCTGGGGTGGGTGGAGATGTAACCGAGCGGTAAAGAGACAGGAGACATGGGCTAGCCAGGTGATGAATGCTGCTGCTATACGACACACAACGCAAATGGCTTCTGACGAAGCTTCCCCGTTGCCTTGCCTATGACATCTACCCAGGGCTTGACTTTTATTCTAATTCACATGAAGCATTAATAAGCATTCTCTCAAAGGAATCCTAAGGATCTAAAAAGTGTTTCAATGGACCTAAAGAACAGAAAAAAGTACCAAGAGATTTTTTTTTTTAATGTTTATTTACTTTTAGGAGAGAGCACGAGCGGGAGAGGGCAGAGAGAGGGAGACCCAGAATCCGAAGCAGGCTCCAGGCTCTGAGCTGTCAGCACAGAGCCCAACGCGGGGCTCAAACTCACGAACCATGAGATCATGACCCGAGCCGAACTCAGACACTTAACTGACTGAGCCAACCAGGCAGCCCCCAAGGGACTCTGACTACTTTGTCTAAAAGGTAGCAGTGGTATGACTCCACACATAGATACAATGGATGAGACAAGCAGGGATGTGCAGCAAACAGCCATCTCAATTCCCTAGTCCATGTATGGGGGAGCGGGAGGGGGGGCTCTTCTGAACCCTACACTTAACATTATGGACTCCAAACATCAGCATTCATGTAAACCCAGCACCCACTTCTCCATTCTGACTGAAACTGTCCTGACCAACGTAAAGAGACTATGTCAAACCCTGCTTTAGTGTGAACTCTTGATCCCCACTTGCTCCTACCCACTTACTTACCTGGGGCACCGCGCTACTACCAAAAATCCCTTTGAGGATGGCCAGGCATCGGCCAACAATCACATCATCACTTATATTTTCCATGATGCCGGCAGCTTCTCCCGCCACTAGTGCCAATAGTATCGGAGCTAGAAAAACAGAAAGGATAATTCCACGGTTTTCTTAGACGTTTCTCAAGAACTGCTTTGTCAGGGCCCACATTATTCTAAGCACCCTGAAATCTGATGACCAATGGACAGACATGCAACACTTGGCTGGAGACAAGCAATGTTTCTGAAACAGCAACTTAAAATCCATCCCTAGAAGTGAGCTGGCAAACTATAGAGGCGAGTGAAGTGTGACTCATGCAATTAACCACTTGTAACTGTCTAATACAGAAGTCTTGAAGACAGAACTTCAGACCTTGCTAAGAAAACCAAGTATTCCTACATTTAGGCACAGAATCCTTAGCCCTGACCGCCTTAGCTCCATAGCAAGAGCTACATCCCTTTACCTATTCCAGGCCCATCACCACTTCTACCCACCCACATTTGGTGAGTATTGATGCAACAGGCTTCTGTGATAGGCACAGTACTAGATTACTGGGATATAAAAGATATAAACTAAATGATATGCTCCATAGATCAGCAAAAATAATCACACCTATAATTATGCACTGATAAAAGCAATGACAAAAAAGGATACAGAAAGAATAATATAGGGGTTTAATTTTTTTAAGTTTATCTATTTTGAGAGAGAGAGAGAGAGAGAATGAGTGCAGGAGGGGCAGAGAGACCAGGAGAGAGAGAGAATCCCCAATGTGGGGCTCAAACTCACAAAACCAAGAGATCATGACCTGAGCCGAAACCAAGAGTGAGACGCTTAACCGACTGAGCCACCCAGGCATCCCTACAGGGATTTATTTTAGATTTGAGGCAGTGGAGGTACGTGTGTCCCGAAGGGACTCTGAAACAGTGGCATTTAGGT